TTTGACAACCATCAGGCTTCAGCTCCTGCGCACGACAGTCAACAACGCACACAAGCAGAGGCAATCGCAACCATGCGAACGAAGTTCGCTTTGACCTCAAAGCTGAAAACTTCAACTCAATTTGACGGCAATGATTTCTACACGTGGAGCTTCGAGTTTGAGCTCCTCGCAACAACCGCGCGGATCTGGATGTACTACGACGGGAGCTTACCGTTTCCGTCCGAAGGAACCATCCAGGAGAAGAATCAGTACTACCACGAGTCCCTTCTCGTATACACCGCTCTTCTCCGAAATCTGTCCCTCGTCGAGCAGCTTGGCATCCGCTCTACAAATCGGAGTGGGCACCCGCGCAAGTGTCTTGGGAGCACCTGTGCAATTCATACATGGCAACAGATTCGGTTACCATGAGGCGCCTGCTCAATCAACTGACATCAATCAAAATGCATCAAAGGGAGAGACCGTATATCAATCGGTGCCGCAATATGCGCGACCACATCAAGAAGTGCGGCGGAACCATCCCTGACGACACGTTCGTCTCGATGGTCCTCTCCGGAATAGCACCCAATTGGCATCAATGCCAGTCGTTGCTCCGCGCTCGAGCAACCATCCCCGAGTCCGCTCTTTGCGCCACACTCCTCTCCGAGCAGAAAGAGATCGATCTGTACAATGAGAAGAACATCAAGCGGGAAAAATGAGTGTTCTTCCCTGGATCAATGTCTTTTGCAAATACTGCAAGAAACCAGGTCACACCATGGACTGATGCTACAAGCGCAAAGCTGCTAACGAAAGACGCGGCAACAACTCACATGGTCAACAACCCTCAGCACCCTCCTCAAGTCCAGCGTGACAGCGAAGTTGTCGCCACCCTCCGTCGCAAGCACTTCGCAAACTCGTACACGCATTTCATCCAAGGACAAGGGAAAAGAATCAGTCTTGAGCTGCATGGTGCGCCGCAGAGCCTTTCGCTACTACGGCGAAATTGAATTTCCGCCAATTGTGCCAATCCACCCAATCACACCAAGCCCAAACAACGACCCTACACTCAGTCCCTGGATCGACAAGCCGACCGATATCCCACCTGATTTCAAGCTACCTCCGAGCACGCCGGAGTCTCCCACCAGCTTTCCCGCAAGGCACGAAAATGATATCTCGCCTTACTGTATTGACGTCGACCGCATCGTCACTCTTAAGATTGCCAGCGTCGCGCGACGAAGCCGCGACCACTTCAACACGTGGTAACTTGATAGCTGCTACAGACAACACATGGTGGTATCACCGACATTCATTAGTAACTCCAAGCACATGCAACGACCGTGCGAAATTACTGTCGCAAACAACAATCAACTCCAAGCTTACGACATCGACAAAATTTGCCTGCAGTCGAACGACACCAACTTTATTATTCACATCGGAGATGTGCTCGTCGTCGCCGACCTTCACTTCAACCTTCTCTCTGCTGCTCAACTGATGAAGTGTAGAGTTGACATTTGAAGCAATTGCGAAGACAAAACCTTAGAATTATTTCTAAATAACACTTGCATCGGCAAGGCGATCGACGAAGACGGCGTCTTCGTATTAAACTTCGTCTCACAAGGCAACACTGGCGACTCGGACATAACTCTTCTGCTGAAAATGACACCCACGGAGACACCGATTCGGTCGCACCCTGAGGAGATGATCCTCGAACGCCCCGCTTCAGACGGACTTCTTTGCCTGCAGGCCGTCCCAACTGCTTCATGTCAAATGTTTATCTTATAGCCTCATTTAGGCTGTAGTGGGGTAGACACTAAGGGGTTTATTTCCTTAGGATTCACACTTGTACTCTCGACATTTTCCTAGTCACACTTTCTCCTCGCTACTCTCTTCACATGGTATTCTGAGCAGGTTCCCTAGTGGGAACTATTTTTTTTCAAGGGCCCACCGATTTTTTTTTTTTTAGCATGCCCGAATCGCGCTTTGCGCCCTGCCCTAACCTCGCGCCCCCCCCTTAGCGGCCCCTTCGTGGCCCCTCGCGGCCCCTCTTACGGCCCCTCGCGGCCCCCCTTAGCGGCCCCCTCGCGGCCCCCCCTTAGCGGCCCCCTCGCGGCCCTCCTTAGCGGCCCCTTTGCGGCCCTTCTTAAGGCCCCTTGCGGCCCCTTCGCGGCCCTTCGCGGCCCTTTCACGGCCCTTCGCGGCCCCTTCGCGGCCCTTCGCGGCCCCCTCACGGTCCTTCGCGGCCCCTTCCGCGGCTCCCCGCGGCCCTTCCACGGCCCCTCCGCGGCTCTTTGCGGCCCGTCGTAGCCGCCCTGCCGCCCCGTTGCCGCCGCCCAGCAGCAGCTGCTGTCGCTTCCGCTGCTGCCGCTGCTGTTCGCCGCTGCCGTGACGGCTCCGCACGGCCTGCTCACCCGCTGGTGCGGGCCCCCCCACCTGCTCCCGGCTGTGCCGCCCCTCTGTTGCGGCCCCGCCCCTCCTTTCGTTGCGGCCTCCGCCTGCAGCAGCCGCCGAGACGACCCCTGCAGCAGCCGCCGCCCCCGGACCTGCCGCAGCTGCCACCGCCGAACCTGCAGCAGCTGCTGCCACCGGACCTGCAGCAGCTGCCGCCGCCGGACCTGCCGCAGCTGCCGCCGCCGAGCCTGCAGCAGCTGCCGCCGCCGGACCTGCCGCAGCTGCCGCCGCCGAGCCTGCAGCAGCTGCGGACCTGCCGCAGCTGCCGCCGCCGAGCCTGCAGCAGCTGCCGCCGCCGAACCTGCAACAGCTGCCGCCGCCGAAGAAGGTGCTGCAGCCCCTGCTGTCACTGCTGCCCCGGCCCTCCCCTGCAGCCGAGTCGCAGCCCTGCTCTGCCGCCTCGTTGCGGCCCCGACCCTGCCACTACACCACGGCCCGCCCCTGGTAAGCACACTACCGAGCCGCGCCGCCCTGCCGAACCGTGTTGCCCCGTTGAGTCGCACCGTCTAGCCGTGTCGCGCTGCTACTGCTGCCACTAGCCTACTGCTACTGCTGTCATGGCTAGTCCTACTGTGCTTACCTTTGATGCTGAGGGTCGGGCGGTCGATTTCGATGTCTGGGTCGATGATCTGCAGCTTTTCCTGCAGTGCGATAGCAAGGACGGTATTTCCCTGTTCGATCTTACGTCTGGTGCTTCACCTGCCCCTGCTGCCGATGCTACCAGTACTGTTCGCTCACAGTGGACCACACGCGATGCTGCTGCCCGTCTTGCTGTGCGTAGTCACCTGCCACCCACTGAGCGCGCGCACTTTAGCCAGTACAAGACTGCTAAGACCTTGTACGACGCTGTAGTTGCACGCTACTCCTCCCCTGCCACTGCTGCCCTTAGTCGCCTCATGCTGCCGTACCTGTTCCCTGACCTCGCCGCCTTTGCCACGGTCGCTGACCTCATTACGCACCTCCGCACTAGTGACACCCGCTACCGCGCTGCGCTTCCTGCTGAGTTTTGCGCCAAGAACCCCCCCCCTATGTACATCACCCTCTACTACCTAGTCACCCGACTCCCTGACTCCCTTCGCTCGGTCAGGGATCACTTCCTCTCTCTCTGCCCCACCACACTCACCGTTGACCTCCTCGAGGAGCGCCTCCTTGCAGCTGAGAAGAGTATAGTCGCTGTAGGAGCCTCTTGTGGTGACCCTCGTGGCCCTTTCTTCGAGGGGTGCTCCCCTGTCCCCCTTTTGCCCTCTGTTGCCTCTGCTGCTGCTGTCGACCTCGTTGGCACCGAGTCGGTCGGTGCTGCGTCTGCCCCTAGCGGGCGGCGCCGCAACGGCAAGGGCAGGGGGGGCAAGGGTGCAGGGGGAGGGGGCGGGGGCGGTAGTGGTGGCGGTGGGGGCGGCGGAGGGGGTAAGGGTGGCGGTGGGGGTGGTGGCGGGGGTGGGGGCTCTGGTGGCAACGGTGGAGGCGGAGGCGGCGGCGGCGGTGGCGGTGGGGGTGGAGGTGGCGGCGGTGGCGGCGGTGGCGGCGGCGGCAGTGGGGCTGGTCGGGGTGGCCCTGTGCAGCGGGGAGGCTTCGGTGGTGGTCAGCGCCAGCAGCAGCAGCGCACTCGTGAGACCCCTCCCCCCCAGCAGCTTCGTGAGTGGTACGCTGCACGTCAACGAGGTGGGGGTGCTGGTCCCTGTGCCTACGTCCTGCCTACCGGCGACCGCACTGGCGAGCCGTGCGGCGGCCCGCACACCACCCAGCGCTGCTTTGGCCGCCTGACTGACGCCTGGCGTCTCCAGTTCCCTGACGCCTCTGAGATCCCTCGCTGGGGTGATTTGCTTAGGTCGGGGGTTGCTATCTTTGATCTTGACTATGATGCTATTCTTGCTGCCATGTATGTTGTGACTACTAGTGATGAGGGTGACTGTTACCTGCGTGTTCCGCCTGACCCGGGCATTGCAGCTGCTGCTCTAGGTGCTCGCGAGTCCGCTGCTCCAGGTACTAGTGCGTCTGCTACTCCAGGTGCTGGTGAGTCTACTCTCTCAGGTACCACGTCTGCTCAGGCTTTGCACACCTTCACCCTTGACTCGGGTGCTTCTCGCTCCTTCTTTCGAGACCGCACCACCCTCACGCCGCTCAGTCGGCCGGTTGCGGTCTCCTTGGCAGACCCCTCTGGGGGTCCTGTCCTTGCCCACTTCTCCACTGTCTTACCGTGTCCAGCGGCCCCGTCTGGCTCCCTGTCAGGTCTTTACCTCCCCTCGTTCTCTACGAACTTGGTGAGCGGTGCTGACCTGCAGGATGGGGGAGTTGACCAGTTCACTCCTGCGAGTCAGCGGGTGACCCACTGCACGTGTGCTCGGACGGGCCGACACTTGGCCACGTTTACCCGTCAGCCGGGGTCGAGCCTGTACACACTGACTACCCAGTCTCCTCCGGTTGCTGCGTCTGGTCAGGTAGCTGCGTCGGGTCAGGTGTTTGCTGCAGCGTCCAGGTCTGGTCCTGAGTCTGCCCCCTGCTCGTGTCGCCTCCTGTCCCACCAGACCCTCCTCTGGCACCACCGCCTTGGTCACCCCTCCCTGCCTCGTCTCCGAGGCATGGCCTCCCGTTACCTTGTTTCTGGTCTCCCCCGGTCCCTCCCTCCCCTTCCTCTGGGGCCTGCCCCTACCTGTGTTCCCTGCGTCGAGGGGCGGCAGCGCGCCGCTCCTCACTCCTCCGAGTTTCCGCCGACAGAGGCTCCACTGCAGACTCTTCACATGGACGTGTGGGGCCCAGCCCGCGTCCGTGGACAGGGTCACGAGCGTTACTTCCTCCTGGTGGTTGACGACTACTCGCGTTACACCACAGTCTTCCCCTTGCGCACCAAGGGTGAAGTCACTGGGGTGTTGATCGACTGGATCCGCGCTGCTCATCTCCACCTCAGGAAGAGTTTCGGCTCGGACTTTCGTGTTCTGCGTCTGCACTCCGACAGAGGTGGAGAGTTTTCCTCCGACCTTCTGCGAGCCTACTGTCGTGCGAGGGGCATCCGCCAGACGTTCACGCTTCCGGCCTCTCCGCAGCAGAATGGGATTGTAGAGCGCCGCATTGGCATGGTCATGGACGTCGCTCGTACGTCCATGATCCATGCGGCTGCTCCCCATTTTTTGTGGCCGTTCGCGGTTCAGTACGCGACGCAGCAGATCAACCTTCAGCCCCGTGTCTCCTTGCCGGAGACCTCCCCCACCCTGCGGTGGACGGGGAAGGTTGGCGATGCGTCTGCGTTCCGTGTCTGGGGATCTCAGGCTTTCGTCCGAGACTTGTCTGCGGACAAGCTGTCCTCCCGTGCTGTTCCCTGCGTCTTCCTTGGCTTCCCCCCTGACGCGCCTGGTTGGCAGTTTTACCACCCCACCTCGCGCCGTGTCTTGTCCTCCCAGGACGTCACGTTTGACGAGTCGGTTTCGTACTACCGTCTCTTCCCCTACCGCACTGCCCCCCTCCCCCCCCGCCGCTCTTTCTCGCGCCAGGTCCCCCCCCGGTAGACCCCCTCCCCCCTCAGGGTCCTGCCCCCTCAAGTGTGTCTCAGGTAGACGCAGTCGAGCCTGTCGAGGTAGCTGTTGACTCTGGTGCTGCTAGGGGTGCTGAGCCTGCGGGTGTTGGGTCCGGGGGTGCTGAGCCTGAGCGTGCGGAGCCGGGGGGTGCTGGGTCGGGAGGTGCGGAGCCTGGGGGTGCTGAGACTGCGGGTGCTGAGCCTGGGGTTGCTGAGTCTGGGGGTGCTGAGCCTGGGGTTGCTGAGTCTGGGGGTGTGGAGCCTGAGGGTGCTGGGCCTGCTCGAGTGGAGCCTGGTGGTGCTAGGCCTGGACGTCCCGCTGGTGCTTCGTCCCGGCGGGAGCTGCCCTCTCCCCAGGAGCTGCGTGAGTGGTTTGCTCGCCGCTGAAGTCGTGCTGCTGGAGCTGGTGGTGCTACCGGTGCTGGAGGTTCTGCGGTTGCTGGAGGTTCTGGAGCCACGGGTCCCGGAGGTGCTCGTACCGGCGGTACTGGAGCTGCTGGGCCTGGTGGTGCTGTTGGTGCTGGAGCTGGAGGTACTCCTGGCGTAGGCGCTGCTGGAGGTGCTGCTGGAGCTGGAGCTGCTGGAGGTGCTGACGCTGGGGGTGCTGCTGGAGTTGGCGCTGCTGGGGGTGCTGCTGGAGCTGGTGGAGCTGCTGGCGCTGGTGCTGACACTGGGGGTGCTGGTGCTGTCCCTGCTGGTCCTGGAGGCGCTGCGCGGCTGCGGCCGTACTTCGTTCCGCTCCTTGAGCAGGTTCTTGGTCTCCCGCCTTCTGCTGGTCCTGCTCCTTCCTTAGAGTGTCCACCGCCTGTCCAGTCCGAGTCACAGTTACAGCTCGCCTCCCCACTGCCTGCTCCTCCTCCCTACACTGGTCCTACTGGAGGTCTTGCTGAGCGCCGTGAGCCTGAGTCTCGTCCTGCGTCGCCTGTTCGTGCTGCTCGCACTGGTCGTCGTGTTCCGCGTCAGCGTCCTCCTGCGGTCCCAGGCACGCACCAGATGGCTCCGCGTCCTTCCACTTCTCCACTGCGTGTCCCTTTGCCGTCTCCTCCTGAGTCCTCTCTTCCTGCTCTTGCTGACCCGGAGTCTGACTCCCTTCGTGCGGCCAGTCCTACTGTCACGCGTCTCCTGGCTACTGTTGTCACTGACCCTTCCTTTGAGTCCACTGCTGCGTCTGCCTTAGTTGCTGAGCTGGTCGACTTTGCTGCTCACTGCCGTCTAGACTACGCTGCGAGTCTTGTTGCTCAGTCTGAGTCTGTCTGTCCTCCGTCCGTCGGGGGTGAGTGTGCTCTTGGCACGGACGTCCTTGAGGACAGGTAGGAGGAGTTCCAGTGCTTTGCTGCTACTTTACCTCATCTCGTGTCCATGCTGCTTGCCCCTGAGGGAGACCCGGATGCACCAGACATCCCGACTCCGCGCTCTTACGCGGAGGCGGTAGAGGGTCCCTACTCCTCTCAGTGGCAGACAGCCATGGATGCAGAGATGGCTTCCTGGAAGTCCACAGGCACCTACGTTGACGAGGTTCCCCCACCTGGGGCGAACATCGTTAGTGGCATGTGGATTTACAGGGTGAAGCGGCCGCCGGGTTCTCCGCCTGTCTTCAAGGCGCGTTACGTGGCTCGAGGCTTCAGTCAGCGGCAGGGAGTTGACTACTTTCAGACCTTCTCTCCCACCCCGAAGATGACCACTCTTCGGGTGCTGCTGCACATAGCCGCTCAGCGCGACTACGAGCTTCACTCTGTTGACTTCAGCACTGCTTTCCTACAGGGGAGCCTGCACGAGGAGATCTGGCTGCGCCGCCCACCTGGCTTCACTGGGTCGTTCCCTCCTGGTACCCAGTGGAGCCTCCGGCGGCCAGTCTACGGTCTCCGCCAGGCTCCCCGCGAGTGGCACGACACACTGAGGACTACGCTTGCAGCTCTTGGGTTTGCTCCTTCTACTGCTGACCCGTCGCTGTTTCTACGCACCGACACCTCGCTGCCGCCGTTCTACATCCTCGTGTACGTCGACGACTTGGTCTTTGCTACTGCTGACACTGCTGGACTCGCCCACGTGAAGTCGGAGCTGCAGAAGAGACACACGTGCACAGACCTGGGTGAGCTGCGCAGCTATCTTGGCTTGCAGATCACCCGGGACAGAGCATGGCGCACCATTACCTTGACTCAGTCACACATGGTGCAGCAGGTCCTTCAGCGCTTCAACTTCACGTACTCCTCGCCTCAGGCCACTCCTCTGTCTACTCGCCACTCGCTCTCAGCTTTGCCTTCGGATGAGTCCGTAGAGCCGAGTGGCCCGTACCCAGAGCTTGTTGGCTGCCTCATGTACCTGATGACCTGCACTCGACCTGACCTGGCATACCCTCTTAGCATCCTGGCACGCTATGTTGCTCCTGGGAGACACCGCCCAGAGCACATAGATGCAGCTAAGAGGGTGTTGCGCTACTTGTGCAGTACGTCGGGCATGGGGCTAGTGCTTGGAGGGCGGAGTTCAGTGGTCCTCACTGGTCACGCAGACGCTTCTTGGGCTGACGACCAGGCTACGCAGCGGTCGTCACAGGGTTACACCTTCAGCCTTGGTTCCGGCTCTGTTTCGTGGCGGTCTACCCGCTCGTCTTCTGTTCTCGGCTTTAGCTGTGAGGCCGAGATCTACGCAGGGGCCATGGCTGCACAGGAGTTACGCTGGCTCACCTACCTGCTGACCGACCTGGGAGAGCCGCCTCGTTCTCCTCCAGTTCTGTACGTAGACAACAAGGCCATGCTGGCCTTGTGTCGGGAGCACAGACTGGAGCACAGAACGAAGCATATTGCTCTTCGCTACTTTCTTGCTCGTGAGCTGCAGCAGCGTGGTCAGCTGCGCCTTGCTTACGTGGCCTCTCGGGCCAACACTGCTGATATCTTTACCAAGGCACTTCAGCCTTGTGATCATCAGCGCTTTTGTACGATGCTAGGTCTTGTGCCTACTTGGCCTCACTTGCTCACTTCTTGACCTTGTACTGTGATCTATATATACCTGCTCTTGCTTGTTTTTCGTTATTTATATGATCCTGCATGTGAACTGGCCTTGTGGCCTTGAACCTGTGCTCGGATTGTGTGGTGACGTTGTGATCCACCCTGAGCTTGCTTTGCTTTGCTTGACTGGTCTTGTGACCCCTTGTTCTCCCCCACTTTGCCTATGGGGGTGTGTCAAATGTTTATCTTATAGCCTCATTTAGGCTGTAGTGGGGTAGACACTAAGGGGTTTATTTCCTTAGGGTTCACACTTGTACTCTCGACATTTTCCTAGTCACACTTTCTCCTCGCTACTCTCTTCACACTTCAACCTCTACTCCCGGAGATATCGTACCTACAAAACAATGGAACAGGAAGAAGACAACGGGAAGTCAGCAACTGCAGGACAAGCTGACAATGGAGGATGGGAAGTAATAAGACCGGTCTCACCCAGCTGGGCCAATCCCAGTACCACAGTCGATGCGTGGGGAGTCGTTCAACACCAGTGAAAGGAGCCGCTCTTGGAGGCGGTTGCGGAATGTCGACTTCTAGAAGCAGCTAGGGACCTCCATGTCAAACTCATATGCTGCTTATTGTGTAGGCTGTAGTGGGGTAGCCCATATGGGGTACAACCCAATTAGGGTTTCCTACTTGTACACATCCTGCTGCTAGTTCATCCATTCCTGTTCGTTATTCTGACATGGTTTCAGAGCAGGTCCTAGCCTACGACTGTTCTTTTTTTTTTTTCGGGCCCGCCATTACTTAGTGACCGAATGCGGTTACCGCGTTACCCCACGCCCTGCCCTGCCCTGCCTTGCGTCACACTGCCCGTGTACGCCCAGCCCTGCGTCGCGCTGCTCCGCGCACAGCCTACCCTGCCCCACGTCGCGCTGCCTCGCGCACGCCCTGGCCTGCCCCGCGTCGCGCTGCCTCGCGCACGCCCTGCCCTGCCCCGCGTCGCGCTGCATCGCGCACGCCCTGCCCTGCCCCGCGTCGCGCTGCCTCGCGCACGCCCTGCCCTGCCCCGTGCCCTGCTGCCCTGGGCGTCGCGCCCTGCTGCAGCCCGCGCGTCGCGCTCTGCTGCCCTGCGCGTCGCGCTCTACTGCAGCCCGCGCGTAGGGCCCTGCTGCCCTGCGCGTCGCGCCCTACAGCCTGCCCGTTAGGCCGCCGCGGGCCCTCTCTTCGCGCCGCCGCGCCTGCCCGTTACGCCCGCTGCCGCGCCCGCCCGTTAGGCCCGCCGCGGGCCCTGCCTTCGCGCCGCCGCGCCTACCCGTTAGGTCCCTCACGGGCCCGCCCGTTCGCCCCTCCCGCACCTGTCTGCTACGGCCGCCGCAGGCCCGCCCCTTGCGCCCGCCGTGCCTGTGTTTTGCGCCCGCCGCGGGCCGGCACTCGCTGCCCAGTGCCGCCCTGCCCGTGCGCGCTGCTGCCCGCGCCAGCGCCCTGCCCTGCCAACGCGCCAGCGCCCTGCCCTGCGCGCGCTGGCGCCCTGCTCTGCCCTGCCCTAGCCGCCTTTGCAGCGCCCTGTCCGCCCTGCTAAACCCTAAAATAAATAAATAAATTAATTAATTAAAAAAAAAGAAAAAATAGCAGCGCGCCACCCTGCTCTAGGAGCTACTGCCTGCTACTGGCCGCGCGCCACCCTGCTCTGGCCGCACGCCGCCCTGCTCTAACCGCGCGCCGCCCTGCTCTGGCCGCGCTCAGCCCTGCTCTGGCCGCACGCTGCCCTGCTCTGGCCGCACGCCGCCCTGCTCTGGCCGCACACCGCCCTCCTCTGGCCGCGCGCCGCCCTTCTCTAGAAGCGCGCAGCCATGCTCTGGCCGCGCGCTGCCTTTCCCTGACTATGCACCACCCCGACCTACCCTAGTGCCTCCTCGCCGCCCTTCCTTCCCTACGTGCTGCCCTGCTGGTCGCATGACTTCTCTTCACGGCAGCGGTGGGAGTGGTGGCAACGGTGACGGCGGCAGTGGGAGTGGTGGCGGCCGTCCTAGCAGTCGCTGTGGAGCTGTTCGGTGGGGAGTTTCTGGCGGTGGCCAGATGCAGCTGCAGCGGCGTCCGCGTGCGACCCTTACACCCCAGCAACTTCGTGAGTGGTCTGCTCAGCGTTGGGCGTCTCAGCGGAGTGGCCGTAGTGGCAGTCGTGGTGCAGCTACTCAGTTAGGAGGTTCTAGCGGTGGCCAGATGCAGCTGCAGCGGCGTCCGCGTGAGAGCCTTACACCCCAGCAGCTTCGTGAGTGGTTTGCTCAGTGTTGGGTGTCTCAGCACAGTGGCCGTAGTGGAAGTCGCGGTGCAGCTACTCAGTTGGGAGTTTCTGGAGGTGGCCCGGTGCAGATGCAGCGGCGTCCACGTGAGACCCTTACGCCCCAGCAGCTTCGTGAGTGGTTTGCTCGGCGTTGGGCGTCTCAGAGACGTGCTGAGGGTGACTGTTACCTGTGTGTGCTGCCCAACCTAGGTATAGAGGCTGCTGCTCTAGGAGGTGATAGTGAGTCTGCTCTCTCAGGTACTAGTGAGTCTGCTCTCTCTGGTACTGCGTCTGCTGCGGCCCTGCACACCTTCACGCTTGACTCAGGTGCTTCCCGCTGTTTCTTTCGCGACAGTACCACAATCACACCGCTCTCTGCAACTGTTGCTGTCTCTTTGGCTGACCCCTCTGGGGGCCCAGTTCTTGCACGTTCCTCCACTGTTCTGCCTTGTTCGGCGGTTTCGTCTGGGTCACTGGCAGGTCTCCACCTCCCCTCGTTCTCTACGAACTTGGTGAGCACTGCTGTCCTCTAGGATGTGGGGATTGACACCTTCACCCCTGGACGGCAGCGTGTGGCGATCTGTACGTGCTCCCGGACCGGCCGCCACATGGCCACGTTCACCCGTCGGCCTGGGTCGAGTCTGTACCCACTGACTACTGCGCCTCCTAAGGTAGCTACGCCTGCGTCCTCGTCAGGTTAGCTTGCGGCCCCCTGCTCATGTTGCGCCCTGTCACACCAGACGCTCCTTTCGCACCACCGCCTTGGTCACCCCTCTGTGGCACGCCTCCGTGGCATGCACTCCCGTCTCCTTGTCTCTGGTCTTCCCAGGTCTCTGCCTCCCCTCCCACCCTCGCCTGCCCCTCCCTGCCTTCCCTGTGTCGAGGGGCGGCAGCGCGCCGCTCCTCACTCCTCCTCGTTCCCCCCGACAGAGGCTCCCCTGCAGACTCTCCACCTGGACGTGTGGGGCCCAGCCCGCGTCCGTGGTCAGGACCACGAGCGGTACTTTCTGCTGGTTGTCGACGACTACTCGCGTTACACCACGGTCTTCCCCTTGCGCTGCAAGGGGGAGGTCCCTGATGTTCTGATCCCTTGG